TAAGTAAACAGTTGGCTCTTCAGTAACTGACTGGGGGCACGTAGTTTAAACCAACTCAGACAGCCACGAGGGGGCACTGTGGCCCCGTTTCTACACAAGGAAGTCTCCTAGATCTGGGAGAGGAAATGTGGCCGCCAGGGGGCGCTGATGTCGGGCAAACACATACTGTGTGCCAGGCGGTGTTCCAGACATTTAAGAAATCAAACTCCAAGTCATTGCCACCCCCTCCATACACAGAGTAGACAGGGATGGGCAACTTGGACATTGGCTACCCAAAGTGGGGGGAGGGGGGATACAAAGGCAAGAAGTGACTGGTTTACTAGCTTTTAAGAGGGAACCTAGATCCAGAGGGTGTGGTGGAAGGTAGAATCTCCACTGAGTAGTATCCAATCTGTCTAGGCGAGGCTGATGAAAGGAAATGCATATAGTTCTCTTGTGATACAATAGTGAATAATTTTTATCAGGACTGATTGTGAGGGTTGGAAATGTAAAGGTAGATGTTTTGTAGCAAGGAGGGGAGTGATTAACTTTACAGTCTGAGAGCGGAGATCCCTGTGACCTTCAAGGGAGAAGAGCAGAGAGCGGGACCCTACCCAGAGAAGCAGTGATGCCAAAGATGGAGGCAGAGATGATGACATGGAGAGATGGAGCAGCTGGAGACTTTAGACCCAGAGGGAGAGGGGCTGTGTGCTGACGCCCCGGGGGGCAGGCTTGCAGGGTATACCCTTTGGTTGGTTGATGATGCATGGAGCGGACTGTAACCCTGGCAATGAAATGATATAGGATAGGATGAATGTAAAATTAATGTTCTCCCATGTAAACTACCACATAACTCACAATAAAACATTTTTAAAAAGAAAGAAAGAAATCAAACTCATTGTCTTGGAGTTGATTCCAACTCACAGTGCCCCTTTTAGGATACAGTAGAACTGACCCATAGGGTTTCCAAGACTAATCTTTATGAAAGTAAATGACCACATCTTTCTCCAGTTGATAAGACACCAAACTTCTAGTTAGCAAGCAAGTGCTTAACCACTGTGCCACCAGGGTCCTTGTGTTCTAAACATTAGGAATCATACTAATATCAAAGGCAGGCAAGGAGCCGTTGGATGATGCAAACTGTCAAGCATTCGAATACTAGTGGACAGGTTTAGTGGTTCAAACCCACCTAGGGGGAACCAAGGAAGACAGGCCTAGTAATGTACTTCTGAACTGCCTTGACAATCCTATGAAGCAGTTGCACTGTGCACATGGAGTCGCCATGAGATGGACCAGATCTACAAAGGCAGACAAGGAGCTAATACTATTCTGGACATGGGAGAGTGTTGTTGTTGTTATGTGCTGTGGAGTCAGTTCCAACTCATAGCGACCCTGTACAGGGTTTCCGAGGCTGTAAATCTTTACTGGAGCAGAAAGCCTCATCTTTCTCCCACGGATCTTGTAGTTTTGAACTGCTGATCTTGCGGTTCACAACCTGATTCGTAACCATTACGTTACCAGAGCTCCTTATCCTGGATGTGGGAGAGTGTAGACAGACAATAAAAACACTAATCAATAAAGGCAGGGCATAATAAACTCCAGGGAGGAAATAAATCGGGGTAGCAGGCAAGAAGCATCTGTGGGGTTCAGATAGGGGGATGTCTAAATGTTAGTGAGTCTAAGGGACCCACATGCTCCAGGCAGAGAAAAGGTGTGTGAGGAAGGGAGGGCCAGTGTGGGTGAGGGGGCACAGGGAGGAATGAGGGCAGACAGGGGACAGGACAGAGCATGTAGGGAAGGACATTGGCTTTTATTCTGAGAGGAACCTGTGAAGTGTGGAATCATGAAAGACCTCCAAGAGAGATGATTAAATTGAGAAAGTAAGACATAGAACAGTGTCCAATGGGCTGCCTTGTGAATGAGGAAAGGGGGAACGGACTGGAATTACGGAAGAGCAGTGACCTATAGAGAAAAGACGGAGAGGGAATGGGCAGGGAGAGATGAGAGTTAAGTGCCATCGAGTTAGTTCTGACTCATAGTGACCTTGTATAGGGTTTCCAAGGAACAGCTGGTGGATTTGAACCGCCGACTTTGTGGTTCTCAGTTCAGTGCTGATCCTACAGTGCCACACCAGGAGTCCAGAGATGAGGGTAAGAGTAAGAAAAAAGATCAAATAAAGATTCAACAGTTGTCGTTATTTGCCTGGACTGAGGGAGGATGGAGAGTCAGCAGGAGGAGGAAAAGGACTGCGTGGCTTATTGTCTCCACAAACAAGGGCCTCCTTTGTCCTGAGACCAGAACTGGATGGAACCTGGCTACCACTACTGAACATTTTGATCAAAGATTCGATAGCAGAGTCCTGATCAAAAGGGGAGAAATGCTGAGCAAAATGTGAAATTTTCATGGCCTCCAGACTTTCTGGATCCATGGAGGCTCCATGAACCCCAGAAACGATGGCCTGACGTTCATCTTTAAACCTAAAAGCAAATATGTCCTCTGAAGTCTTCTTAAAACCATAGTTTAGCTTAACTAGTGAAAAAAAAAAAAAAAGTCTGCCTTAAGTTGGCTTTTGAAAGCCCTATCTTTACAGGATCAAGTTGACAAACTTAGATAAAAGTCTGTAGGGGTTGTGATTGTATGCCAACGTCAAGCTGACAACCTTAGATAAAAGTCTGTAGGGGTTGTGATTGTATGCTAATGTGGGAGGAGCAATTTAGAAAAGGAGGGGGCAAGAATGGTTACAGGATTTGAAGAATGTAGTCAGTCACTACATTGTTGAATTGGAATACATGTAGCTGTGTATATTCTCAACAACAAAATAAAACTAATAAATAACAATAGTTGCTGTGAAATGCCGTCGAGTCGGTTCCAACTCATAGCAACTCTTAGGGTTTCTGAGGAGCGGTTGGTGAGCTTGAACCGCCAACTTTGAGGTTCAAACCAACCTTGCAGTTCAGCGCATTAACCTGCAGCACCACACCAGGACTCTAATGAATAATGATGGAGGAAGCTAATAATAGCTACTGCTAAATTCAGACCCTGGGTTTTGTGTACTTCTCCACACGGCCCCCACAAAGCTGAGGAACTAAGAACAAAGTGGAAGCAGAGAGTTCTGGGATATGGGTGTGGTTCCCTCCTCCTGACCTCTGGCTAGTCAGGGCCTAGGTACTAAGAAGAATGGAGGGATGGAAACTTCCCCTGAGTGTTTGTACAGAGAGAGGGAGTGCTTGAAGTCATTGAGGTCTATCTGCACAGGGACAGTGAGGTCACCTGGAGGATTGGACAGGTTTGGTGGCTACAGGATGCTGTTTTTCTTCCCGGGACATCTTCTCTTCCTGCCAGACTAGAGCTCAGACCCCTTGGGACAGGTGCCCGACAGGGCCACTGGGTATCACTGGGTATCACGGATGGACAGGGGGTGGGTCAGGGGCCCCAACATCAGTCAGTAGAGACTCATAGCGACCCTGTACAGGGTTTCCGAGGCTGTAAATCTTTACGGGAACAGAAATCCTCCTCGTTCTCCCGCGGTGGTAGTTTCGAACTGCTGATCTTGCGGTTCACAGCCGGATCCGTTAACCACTACACTACCAGAGCTCCTTTCTGGGGAGAGATACCCCAGCCCTATTCCAACTACAGTCAGAGCCCCGCCCACTTCTCGATTGTATATAACTTGGAACTCTGGTACTACCAGACCTGTTGTTAATTGATAAAATATTCTACAAATTTTGGTACAGCCACTATCCATTTCTGATGTCTCAGTCCCTCCTTTGAGACCTTTCTGACCTCCCTGTTGTTCAGTGCAGCGGAGTCTGTTTGACTCATAATGACCCTTTATAGATAGGGTTTCCTGGAGTCCTGGTGTGGCGCTGTGGGTTAATGCGCTAGAATGCAAAGCCGTTTGAACTGCAAGGTTGGGGTTCAAGCTCACCAGCTGCTCCATGGAAACCCTGTACAGGGTCGCTATGAGTCGGAACTCGATAGCACTTAACAAATAAGGTTTCCGAGGAGGAGAAGCTGGCGGGTTTGAGCTGTGGTTTCACAAGGCTGATCCTACAGTGCCATACCTGAAGTCCCCTGACCTCCCTGTTGGTGTTATTAAGTGCTGTCCAGTAGACGCCAACCCGTAGAGACCCGTTTCCGAGGAGCGGTTGTTGAGTTTGAATGGTTCAAACTGGTTTTACATTCCAGCGCGTTAATCCACTGCGCCACACCCGGACTCCCTGACCTCCCTAGGCCCCAACATTCAAGGATTAACCCCGGCCCAGTAGGGGGCGTCCCTGACTCAGCTCGTCAGGCCATTGTTCCTCGTGGTTGGTTGATAGCCCTGTCAATATTTGCTCTCGCCCCTCCTTCCACAAATTCAGCGTTCTCAGATATTGGTCCCCATTTCACATAAACTCTTAGGGTAGACAGTTTCAAAGCCCGGCCTCAGTGTTTCTTTCTTCAGGAGCCATCCTGGGCTTCTTCATGACCACGCTCTTCCCTCCACGTGGATTGCCACGTGTCTCGGTCACTTTGTTCTAATCCTCTGCACCCAAATCCATCGACCTGCCCGCCCCTCCATCCCCACCCCACACTACCCCAGTATGTTCCCGTAATGGCCATGCCCAATACATTTCGGGGAGTGTGTGGGGATGTGTTCGCTGTGTTGCCGTGGTACCCACCACCTGGATCCTGTGCCTCTCTCCTCGGGAGCCTGAACCCCACCCCCACACAGGGCCTGCTGGGCTCAGGCTGGGACGGGGGTGAGGACAGGATGTGAGTCCCCGAGCTGTCAGGTCAGCAAGGTCTGTTCTCATGCTCTCTGGCTGTGGAGGAGTGATTCTCCATCTGGCGGCGCCAGCTGTGGGTGCTGGGACACGAGGGGACACAGCAGGAGAGGGGGAGGCCGGACTAGGGGGGAGGAGGGGGCTGGGGGAAGCCCGCGGTAACCAGAGAGAGGAAAAACAGCCACGCGGTGTTATTGTTACAGAACTGTTAAATACAACTTATACACAAGCCTGCGTGGAGGCGGCCGCAGATCAGGGGGGCGCAGTCCGGGCGCGGTCCTGGCGGGGGCTCAGGCTGCCGCCGTCCGAGTCGTCGGAGGGGCTGGGCTGGTGGAGGCCGGGCTGTTTGTGGAGACCACGCAGCCTTTCCAGCAGCTCCTGGACGAAGTCCTGAGGACGGGTGGGGGTGCTGAGAACAGGCGCCGCAGGGGGAGGCACCCCTCCCGTCTCTGCCCAGCTTCGGGATCCGCGGGAGGAACAAGGGCGAGTGGGAGCGTAGAAGATTGGGAGAAGACAGCCAGGAGCGTAGGGCACAAGGAGAGAGAGGAAAAGACAAAGAAAGGAATAGGGAAAGAGGATGGGAGAGTGGCAGAGAGAGAGAGAGAGAGAGAATGGAGAAAGAGACAGAAGGAGACAAATAGAAAAGAAAAAAAACGAGAAAGAGAGGGAAAGAGAAAAGAGGGGAGAGAAACAGAAGGGGAGGGGAGGAGAGAGAGAGACTTGGACAGACAGACAGACAGAGACAGCCACCCACAACTAGAGACCTAAGCTGACACAGAGACAGAGAGAGATGCAGAGACAGAGAAAGAAACCCGAGGTCTCTGGCAAGAGATCACCAGGAGGGTCCCCAGAGTCAGATGCCAGAGACAGCCTCTGGGACATACAGACAGAGTGACGTTTGTCCCTTAGGCAGCCGAGAGCTGGTCAGAGAAACACGAATAGTTTTCCCTTTTAAAGAAAGAAAGGAAGTGGGAGGGGTTGGACAGCTCAGCTCAGGGGCCTGGAAGGACTGAGGTGGGGAAGAGCACCCAGGGTGACCGGGGAGAGAAGACTGTAGCTTAAGGACAGGGCCTGGCTGAGTGGCTGCAGCAATAGGGGACAGATGGGAGCTCCTCTCCGTCCCAGCGGGAGGGTAGTAATGGAGTCCCAGTAGCAGATGGGGAGAGAGGAGAGACAGGGGTGAAAAGGGCAAAGGACACCACTGGAGACAAGAAAGGAGCCCCCCAGGGTTTCACAGCCAGCTTCTTCCTTCTTCCCAAAGACCTCCCCCCAAAACAGAGTGTAAAGGAGGGAAAACTTACCTCTGTGGGGTTCATGCAGGACTTCAGGAGTTCCTAAACAGAAAAGGAAAAATCGTGAATGACCGACACCTCTCCCCTCCCACCTCTTCTTTTTCCCAACAGAGTCCCAATGCAGCAAGACAAATGAGAGTTAGACTCCAGGGTGGACTTCCCACCTGGCTTCAAGGAAGGAACATAGCTTGGAGCCTTATAGAGCACCTGGGACAGGGTTAAAACCTACAAAGTCAAACCCACCAGCCACTCTGAAAAAGAAAGATGAAGCTGTCTGCGCCCCAAAAGATTTACAGTCTCAGAAACCCTAAGTAGCAGTTCTGCTCGGTCTTATAGGGTAGCTGCAAGTCAGAAGCCACTCGATGGCAGTGGGTTTGTTGGGGGATTTTTTGGTTTGGGGCCAGGTACAGATGAGAAGTCATGCACCCAAATATATCCAGATCTGCAAATCGAGATCCAAAAAGTCATCAAGTATTTCCTGCTGCCAAGAGAGCACAAGCCATCAAAGAAAAGGATGCTGGAGGTAGACTATTTGGCCAGCTCTGCCCCTTTGGAGCTGTGTGACCCTAGACAAATGACATAACCTCTCTGGGCCTCATTTTCCTCATCTGGAAAATGGAGCTAATAACAACCCTTCTTCACAGGGTTTTGTTAGGATTAAGTGGGGAACGTAGAAAGTAATTAAAACTGCCTGGCACACAGAAAGTGCTTAATTACCTATTATCAAATGCTCCTATTTTTAGGGGTACAAGATGGAAAACTAAGGGCACCCCCTTGCATACCCACAATCCACCTACCTGGATTTTCCGACTTCTCTCCTCTTCGCTCTCTAATTCCAACAATTCATCAATGTTGACCTCATCAGGCATGTCTGTCTCCTAAGGCGGGGAAGGATGAGTGGTCAAGGTTCCTTTTCCCCTCCCCCTTTTGTCTACAGCTTTGGATGAGCCCAGGAGCCCTGGATCAACAATGTGGCATTCAGGGACAGCACCACAGAGGAGGGGCATCTGGGTGTTGGGGGGGAGGGGTGACAGATGGGTTGACAGAGGCCCCGGGGGGCCCCAGAAGCCTGGTGGCTGGCACGGAGCTCACCCCTTGGCCCCAGTTCCCATAGTGGGAAACAGGCCTGATTGAGCCTTGGAATGTCATCTTCTGGGATTCGGGAAAGGGGCTGGCTCTGCCCTTTCAAGGAAACGTCTCAGCCCTAGGCTAGGTGCAAGGAAGGGGAGCCAACAAGCTGGAGCCTGCTAGGCGGCCCCCTCCTCCACGGAACAGGGAGGGAGGGCTGGGTCCAGAGTACAACCCAGAGAGCTGGCAGTCCTAACTAATGACCACTGAGGGACCAAGGTGGGTGGATGGGATGTTTTATAAGTCCAATTTTGAGGCAGCCAAGGAGATTCTAGTATGGCCTCTTGGGCTGCCCCTGCAGGAGACAGGACCAAGCTGTCTATGCAAGAAATCCATGAGGCTACAAAGCCTTACCATCATCCTCATATCCCCCAAAGTCCTGCTGACTTAGTTGCTTAGGGCTGCTAAGTGATCAGGCATACAGTTGTTGTTACATGCCATTGAGTCAACCCCATGTACAACAGAATGAAACACGGCCCAGTCCTGTGGCAACCTCACATTGTTATGTTTGAAATCATGGCTGCAGCCACTGTGTTCAGCTCCTTAAAGGTGTTCTTGGTGTTCATTGACCTTCTACCAAGCATGAGGCCCTTCTCCAGGGACTGGTCTCTCTTGATAATACGTTCAGACTACAGGCATAGAGTTTTGTTGCTGTGTGGCACACCCATGTAGGTTTGGGCATGAACCACAAACCCTGATAGCAGGGGACAAGGGTCCTGAGGTGGTGTGAGGGCACACAAGCATATGGCAGTGACTTTATACCATGCTCTGATGGGTGTGAGGTGTGTTTGTCCTATCAACTGTAGAACCCACCATCTGAGTATGACAGCTTATACCTGCCACAGATCATCTGCAACTGAATGTGCCGGTCCTTTCTATGAGCAACATGTGTTTCTGAAAACACAGAGACTTCGTGTCACTGTGAGTCGCTAAGGCTTTTACCATGTCTGTGCTGTGTGAAGGAAGACTGTGTGTAACCTGCATGTCCGTGCACATACCTGTGATTGTGTGCTGTACAAAGTGTGACTTCAAGTGGCAGGGTATCCTGTGTCCATCTGTAACTTACGTGTCAACATTGTGTATGTCATTAGCTGCAGGTTTTGCCATTGTATATTTCTATGAGTAGAGTTAACAATTAAGAAGATACTCAATGAGATGGGATGACAGACACAGTGACAACAACATTGGGTTCAAACAGTAACGACAGTGCGGAAGGTGCAGGACTGGGCAGTGTTCCGTTCTATTGTACGCCGATACACTTTAAGCCGAACCCCGAACCCGACTCTCTGGCACCTATCACCAATAATATTTGCCTATAGTTTATGTAAGGAGCTCTGGTAGCGTAGTGGTTATGAATCTGGCTGAGAACCACAAGGTCAGTAATTCAAAACTACCAGCTGTTCCGCAGGAGAAAGGTGAGGCTTTCTGCTCCCATAAAGATTTACAGCCTCAGAAACCCTGTACAGGGTCGCTATGAGTTGGAACGGACTCCACAGTGCATAACCACCACTACCATAGTTTATGTAGTTTTATGTCTAATCGTTTCGTGTGTATGAGTGGATGTAGCATCTGTTGTTGGGATTATGTATGGTCATAGTCTAAGCCTTTGGAAGATTCTGGATGCTTGTAATTTGAGTTACGGTGTGTCCGAAGAATTTATGGTAGCTTGTATTGTTTTGTCTGTGTGTGCAGCTATATATCTGTGAATAACTGTCACTTGAGTCACGATGTGTATGAGTGTTGTTATTGGGTTGTGTATCTTGGTAGAGCTGTGGTCTGGGCTTTTGTGTCCCTAGTTGGCTGTGGCTGTAACATATGTTAATCTGTGAGTGACAACCATCGCTTGTGTCTTTGTGTGTCTGTGTATGGATGGTGCTTCTGTTGTGTCTGTGAGTTGTGAGAAGCTATAGCTTCTGTCCTTGTGCACATCTGTGTATGCAATACAATTACTTCCTTTGCTGTGTGTCTCCCCACTGCCACTATGTCTATGTTTGGCTTTAAGACATGTCCCCTCCCCCACACTTTCTCCAGATATGGCCGCTCGGGTTTCTCAATCTTGCCTCCTTGACCCCATCGGCTAAACTACTGGCCCTTGAAATGTCTAGACACATCTCTGGAGACCCAACCGTGTGTACATTTCTCTGTCCCCAAGCAGAATGCCATCGAGTGTACACGGCCAGGCCAATGTGCGTGTTCTCTTGTGTGGATGAGGCTGAATGTGCACCAGTGACATGTGCCTAGAGACTCCCAAGAGTGTAAGGGTAGAAGCCAGGGGTGGGTTAGTCTAGGACCACTCCCCACCGCCCCCCACCCCAAACTCCTGCCTCTCCTCACCCTGCCGCGGTACAGCTCCTCTAAGCGCCCGTCGATCCACTTCTCCACGTCCAGCCGCCGCTGCAGCTCCCGCCGATCATACTTGACGGTGACCCGAGCGTGGCGTTTCTGCAGCCCCCCGGGGCTGCCCCCCGGCCCGCGGGCCCGCGACGGAGCCTGGAGCTTGCTCAGCACCCGCTTGCCCAGCCGCTGAGCTGCCATCCCCGCGTAGCGTAGTGTGCCTTCGCCCCGAGCCCAAGGGGCCTCTTACGGGCCGGGGCGGGGCGGGGCCGGGCGGGGGCGGGGGCTCGCACTCTCCGCGGGGCTGGCCCCGCCCCTGGCGCGTGGACCTCAGTTTCCCCGCCTGCCGTGCTGGACGGGGCGCTGCGCTACTAAGAGCCTGCGGTGGTGCACAGTTCAGGTAGAAGCGGAGTCTGAGAACCCCAGGCCCGATTCCAGCATCTGGGGCTCCGGGGTCCTGGATGGGGGGCGGGTCCTGGGACGGGCTCTTGGGGACCAGGCCTGCCCACGCCCTCTGGTGGCCACAGCGTCTGGCGCCTTGGTAGCAAGGCAAGTACCAGCCAGAATACTCTGAACTTCGTTTGTTGGTTCTTTCATTCATTCAGTGGTTCCTCCATCCATGTATTCACTCGCTCATTCAATCACCCAATCAATGCAGCGGATATGTAGTTAGTGTTTGCTGTGTGCTAGGCACCATGGATTAGTAGTAAACAGAACAGGCTTAGTCTCAGGGAGTTGATAATCTTGTGGTGAGGGTAGACAATAAACATAATGAATAAATCGTTCTAGAGTTTGTTGTTTTTGTTGTTGTTGTTGTTGAGTCATTTCTGACCCATAGAGACCCTGTATAGGGTTTCCGAGGAGCAGCTGATGAGCTTGAACCGCCAACCTTGCAGTTCAAACGGCTTTGCTCTCTGGCGCGTTAACTCACAGCGCCACATCAGGACTCCAGAACACAGTAAATTCTGTGAAGAAACATAAGACAGGAGGGGAAAAGCTGATGTTCAGTGCAATGAATCAATTAATACAAGGGGCCTTCAAAAAGTTCATGGAAAAATGGAATTGAAAGACAATAGGATAGTTCTCATAGGGTTCTTTTAGTTATAATCTTTGTTGTTAAGTACCATGGAATCAGTTCCGACCTAAAGCTACCCTGTATACAGTTTCTGAGGAGCAGCTGGTGAGCTTGAACCACTGACCTTGAAGTTCAAACCAACACTGCAGTCCAGTGCATTAACCCACACAGAGCGCCACACCACAGCATCTTGTACTAACTCCCACCAAATGACTTTGTGGGACTATTCAAATGAGGTATTTGTGGCCCACCAAGGGGGTTGGATAGCATGCTATTAATGTGTGCATGGTATCTTTGTGGGGGTGGTTGTTGCTGTTAAGTGCCCTCAAGTGGGCTCCGACTCATGGTGACCCTCTTTATAGGGTTTCTGAGGAGCAGCTGGTGAATTTGAGCCATGGGAGATACAATTAAGGTATACTGAACCTAACGAGGGGATTGGTCAGTTTTGCCATTCCGCTAGGCTGTGAGGGAGGTAGGGGTGGGGGAGAGAAAGGAGGAGGTGTAACATGGAGGACAGCAAGACATGATGGTGTTCGAGTAGCAAGAGTGATATGAGAACAGGGCAAGATGACAGGAACTAGGACATCTGAGGGAGACAGCAGAGGTGGGACATGCCAGCAGGAGTTAACAACTATAATACTTGTCCAAGAAGGCCGTGGGGCACAGGACGATGAGAAACACTTCTGATTAAGAACTGTATTCTGACGTTACTTCTGAGTCCATCCCCATGCTGAGTTCTAGCTTGTTACTTCCCTTCAAAACCCCATAATTCTGAGTATGTGGTCTCTGAGTTCCGTGTAACCATTGCAATTAATTATTGAACCCAGTAGAGACGTAGACAGTGCCGTGGGACGGCGGATGTCAGAAGTGGTAAAAAGGTGGGAGGGTGGAAGTGTGTCTAGCTTCTGCCTCAGAGGAATCAGCTTTGGGCTCTTGATCATGATTCTCCTTGCCCCGTTATGATGTTAGAGGAAGTCAGATGCCGTCATGCCATTCTCACATTGAGTGAGGTTGGTGTTGAAATTTTAGCTAGAATGATCAGGGAAGATTCATATCCTGTAAACATGTGAAGAATTCCTGTTGTTTAGTGTCATTGAATTGGTTCTGACTCACAGTGACCCCTGTATAGGATTTCTGAGGAGCAGCT